TGCAGGGAGTTTCAGTTGCACATAGGTCTGGATGCATGTTGCTACAGCAAAGGGTAATGGATCTCCTTCAAACTGACCACAGGATGACCAGCTGTGAGTTCTATGAAAGGAAATGGTCTTTATGACTAATGGAGTCCTCTGTGTAGTACTAGCTGAAATAAATTCCTTCTGTGGTTTTCTTCACTATAATTGGAACAAGCTTAAAGAATGGAAAAGGCAAAGCTCAAGTTCAGCCTTTCACAAGACTTGGAGTTTTGATCAGCTGATAGAAAAGCCTGGAGTTGTAGGGGTGTTCTTGCAGCTCCCATACCCAGCTCAACAAGGGGCACTGTCAACACTGAGGTCAGCCTGTTCATTGCACAGTGAAGAATGAAGGTAGGAAATAGTGGTCACATGGGCTCTCTGCTAATGGAGGCAACAATGGCTCTTTGACAAACATTTGAGAAGCAGAAATGAAAAAGCTTTCCAAGATTGTTTATGAGGGTTAAAGCATGGCAACCTTTATATGGCTGATAAAGCAGCATCCTCACAGTGGAAAGCGGATTGCAGTAGAGAACATGTAAGAGGTGGCCTCTTAAATATGAAAAATAACATACTTTAAAAAAGTAGCATGTAGTTATGCATTTCTAATCAGAAACACAACAAGCTGAGTTGAGAATATACAAGTCAGCTAATAAAGGAATATATACATGGTGCGAGGAACAAAGCACCTCCTGTGGAGAAAGGAACCACTACCAAAAACTCAATTCTCTAAGATTTCCTGACCTGGGTGGAAAACAAGGCAAATGACTCAGACCAGCTTGTGGAAAAGCCTGCAGGAATGCAAGATTAAAAAATGGCAGATATGTGGAACATTTTCTGTTAAGCAGATGAATTGAGAAGAAAATGTATTCTGGGATGATTCTGAAGTGCAATGTCCTGGCTTCCAAGAGAGCAATCATCAGCAGCACGATCTGCTGACTGAAGGATAGGGATATGGATAATTTCAAACCAATTCTGCATCATTAGAAACTTATTTATAAATCTCGTGTTCAACACTATGCAGTTTCTTTAGCTTTTCTACCATTTTGCAAAAAGCTACCCCTGGAATGAAAGCTTGGGTTGAATTTCAGTGGCACTTGGTTGTCAGGAAATGAAAGAAGCAACACACAAACATGTCAAAAACCTGGACAAAGGCATCAGTCTGACTGTAGAGAAGTGCTTAAATAGGATCTAAAGGTAATTGAGAAGGTCAGTCTACCTCCTTGCAGACACATTAAATATGATGTTATCCTCTTGAGCCAGTACCAAAAAATTGGAAGACTGATGGCTCAAACAAGGTTAAACACAGCTATGGGCTTGTGTATTTAAACCATTTCAGTTTATGAATCATAAACATTGTTTACACTACCCCCTTCTCTGAAAAGGAATTTATAATTACAAGGCTGGAAACTGTGACTACTTTCCACTTGTAAAACAAAACTGTTTTGCAATCATTTGCAGTTGTTGCTGCAATCCTAGAAGCTAGAATAAGAGAAATGGATATTATTCTTCATAGTGACCGGAGTTTTATAAAATACAAATGATTAATTCAACTGAATTTTTACAGATCAAAACCCTGAAGTCAAAGCCCTAACACAGTTTCCTGTGCAATATCTTCAAAGTCTGCAAAGTGGCCTCTAAACAGAATAGAGGTTTTTCAGTTCAGAGTTAAAACCTAAAGGATAATTCATTCATTGACCAATGAAAAGTGGGATTAAGACTATGATCTGAACTTCTGAAATAAAAAGATGCATAAGGAGATAGCTTTAATCAGTGATTCATTTTTTACCATTCTTTGTTAGGTTAACAATCCCCTTGTTTAAATCACTCATCATAAATCAGGTTTTCTAGGTCTGTGATATTCTAATTGCTCTTTTACTGACTCAGTTCAGTTGATCTTTATCTTTTTTTGAAGAGTAATGCTTAAACTGGATACAATGCCCATTCAAAGCCTGGCTTTAGCCCATGCCTTACTTCCTGTGTCTTATGGCTGATATCTTTATTTCTGTGTTTGCCTTTTTTGCTATTGTATGACAGCTGTTGTCTCACATTCATTGTGGTTCCTGTAGCCTTTCATGCTTTCCTGCAGACATTACTCCATCAGCATCCATCATCTTGGCTTCGTGCAGGTGTTTCAGAGCAGGATCTTGCCCTGTCTCCACTGAGCTGAGCCTCAAGCTTTAGGCTGGTCCTGTGAGTGTTCACATTAACTTTGAATTTGGTTCAGAATCTGGAGTGAAGTCCAGGTTACAGCCAATATGGTACATCTGTAACTCCTCATTGCAGAACCCACATGCTAAAGCACACTATCCCCAGGGATTTGTTTCAGGCTCTCTGCAGAGGCAAGGGAAGCATCTCTGCCACAGTGCACACTAATCATGTTTTCAAAGATAACTCCATAACCAGCTGCTTCTAGGGCTATAAAGGTTATTCTAGGGCAGAAAAACAGCAGTGTGCATAGGGGGACAGTAGGGAAAGAGCAGTCAAAACCCAGCTACAACAGTAACACAGACTAAGTAGATTTAAACTGCAAACACAGAACAAAAGGATACAGTGATTTTAGTAATGTAACAAAGATCTTCTTCCCACTGTATCCCCATCAAATCCAAGAGAGAAAATTGCAGCTTGTGTAGAAAAATTCATATAAAGCAATGAGCATCAAAGACTAACACCTGCTTTACTGCAAAAGAGAAGTCACAGTCATGGAGGGAAATGTGTGTGTAAATATAGGAGCAGGAGAACATGGCAAAGAATATTAAGGAAGATTAGTTATTGTATAGGTAGGCTAGAGAAATCTCATTCTGGTTTATTTTCTTTCCTTAGCTTCTGAAGTTTAATGACTTGAATGAGATGTAAAGTAAATTGTCAAAAAAAAAAGAAAAACAGCAGTGTGCTCATTAAAACACACAGTAATATTTTCCTCCAAAGCTGATACACTTAGGATCATCTACTATAAAAATTCTCTCAAACAGACAAGAGAATTTCACACTGCATAAATGGCAGCAAGAATGTGAAAAATGGACAGAGATCTCAGTGTAATGACATATAACAATTACAGGTGGTCAGAACTTAATTTGAAAGCAACTCCGACATTTGGTTAATTAATAAGCTAAGGCACATGATGTGCCTTGTGCTCACTGGAGCCATAGAAGATCTTAAAAGTCACAATGCAGTCCTTTATGATGCCTCATGGTACCCACAGCCCCCAGTCAGATGCCAAGATTCCTCCTACAGCCCATGGGGAGTCCTCAGCACCCATGAAAGTGAAATACACAATGTGGCACGCTGAGAAAGGAGCCACACAGCTGCCAGCCAGATCAGCCTTGTCCTTCAGAGATAGGTATGTAACTCCAGGCAGCTTCCTCTTGACATTCTTGGTTGTAAACCCTCTCCTATGGTTTGTTGCCCAAGATATTTTATTTCCTTCTCATGGTTCTCTCTCCTCTGCTGTTTCTCTCCCACTCCAAACAAGGAACCAGGGAGAGCTCTAACTATGCAACGCAGTTAGGAAGTGGGAGAGCTACCTGAAAATGTTGCCCCACCCCTGAATTAGAGAATCCCTCTCAGCAGTCATCAGACTGCAGTTGTCCTTAATTTTTAGGACTTATGGCACAGAAAGATCAATGAGTCAATATCAACTGCTGCCATCCATTGAGTCATATCATAAGATGGTTTGGGTTGTGAGGGACTTTTAAAGGTCTCTTAGTTCAGCCCCTTCAACAAGCTGGGACATCTTCAACCAGATCAGATTGCTCAGAGCCCCATCCAGCCCGGCCTCAAATCTTTCCAGGGATGGGGCATCTACAGCCTCCCAGGGAAACCTGTTCCAGTGTCTCACTACACTCATTGTAAAAAATTGCTTCTGTATCTAAATCTGCTCTCTTTTAGTTTAAACTAATTATCGTTTGTGCTATCACAACAGGCCCTGCTAAAAGTTTGCCCCCATCTTTCCCCTTTTTGTCACCGGAGAAGTCTTCCAGCCCTCTGACTATTTTAATGCCACTCCTCTAGACCCACACCCACGGGTGCATTCCTGTCCTCTGCTGGGACCCCAGAGCTGGATGCAGGGTTCCAGCTGGGCTCTCACAGAGCAGAGCAGGGGGGCAGAATCCCCTCCCTCACCCTGCTGGCCACGCTGCTTTGGATGCAGCCCAGGACACTTTTGGTTTTCTGGGCTGTCAGTGCACATTGCTGGGTCACATCCAGCCCCTCATCCATCAGCACTCCCAAGTCCTTCTGGGCAGGGCTGCTCTTGATCTGTTCATCCAATACTGTGAGGGCAGGAGGGAGCTGCTGGTAACGTGGGGGCCTGCCATCGTTGAGTGACAGGGTCAGAACAATAAAGAGTTTGGAACAGATGTGCAAACTACATCACCACCCGTGAAACACAAGTACATGTGGGTTTTGAGATCCTAATTCTGAAAAGAGATTTCTGAAACTGGTGTCTGATATCCCATCTCCAAACGTGCAGTAACATAAAGGTTATGTCTATGCTGTGTTGAAACTTCTGGCATTTTTTAAAACACATCCTAGAGAGAAGACTCTTACCACACTTTAAAAAAAATCATCCTAAGTAATTCATGATATTCTACTTCTGAAACGAGAATCCCTTTTATCTCCATCAATTGCAAAGGAAAATAAATAAATTTACTCCGATGCACCAGGCACACGCCCATTGTCCCCAGGGCCCTGGAGGATGCCCGCCCAGGCAGCTGCCGCAGCCCAGCTCGGCTCGCACACTCCCTGGCCAGCTCGGAAGGGGGCCGCGGTTGCGGGATGGCTTTGTGGTACCGGCGAGCGGCTTCCTCGAACAAAGCGCGAGCGTGTCCCGCCATTTCCTACGAGCCGGGGCCGTCGGGGCGCGTCGCTCCCGGCGTGTCCCCGCGCTGTCCCCCCGCGGGCGGCGGCCGGGGAGGGGCATGGGCGGGGGCAGTCCCCGGGCATTGATAACCCCGTGCTGGGCCCACCGCGGGCAGCCGGGGAGCGCCTGTCCCCGCACCGCCACGCACCGCACAGCGCCGTGAGTGCCTCGGGACTGGACGGAAAACACCGGGGTGCGGGAAAACCGGGGGCGGGGGAAGGGACGGGGTTGCCCCTAGACGGGTCTGATGCCGCTCGCAGCTGCGATGCCGCACGATGGGCTCCGGCTGCTGCTGTCCAGTTACGGCTTCCTGGCCGAGGTGGTCCGGGGACGGACGGACACGAACTAAAAGCCCGGGGGTTACGAGTCCGGAGGGATAAGCCCGCTCCGCGCCCGGCTCGGGCTGGCGCGACCCCGGGGGCTGCGCTGCCGCCGGGGCAGCGCCCGCCACGGTCCGTGTGTCCGCAGGGCGCGGAGGATGCGGCGGGAGGGCGGGCCCCGCGCCGGGACGCGCCGTCGCTGAGGCTCGCCGAGGATGAGGCTGCCCCTGGTACTGCTGGCCCTGGCCGCCCTGGGGGCCGCCGCCGGCGGCGCGGAGCGGGAGGAGGCGCGGGCGGGGCGGTTCTCCACGCCGGAGCAGCAGCGCTGCCGCTGGGAGCTGCGCTCGGCGGCGGGGGCCAGCGAGCTGCGGCTGAGCTGCCGGGCGGCGGGCGGCGGCGCGGCGCGGACCTGCGCCTACCGCGGGGAGCCGCGGCGCTGCCCGGCCTTCGGCGCCCGCAGCCGGCAGTACTGGCGGCAGATCCTGTCCCGGCTGCGGCGGCGGCCGCACCCCTGCGCCCCCGGAGCGCCGCTCAGCGCCCGCCTCTGCGGCCCGGGCCGTGCGCCGCCCGAGGCGCAGCTGCGCCTGCTGCCCGACCCCGGCCCGGCCACGCCGGCCCCCGGCCCGCAGCCCTCCGAGGACCCGGCGCAGACCTACTGCGCCGAGCGGTGGCACTCGCTGTGCAGCTTCTTCGTCGGCTTCTGGGAGGGCTGAGCCGCTCCGGCCCCCGGGAGGGAGCGCGGCCGCCCGGCCTCCGCACCCGGACGCTCCCGGGCTCGCCTGCCCTCGGCCCCCGCCGCCTATGCCCCCCGACTCTGTCCGCTCTCCTCTTCTACTCCCCAATAAAGCGGTAACTATTTTGTGACAAGAAGCTCGCGTACTTCTTTGTCTCGTCAAAGCCCTGTAACACCTGCCGCGCTGTTCCAGTGTGTAACTGACCCGGGTCAGTGAGAGCCCCTAGGCACAACTCGTGCATTCAAGTACATTAATTTTTTTCAAGGGACATAAATACGAAGAGGCGGCTATTCCCTCCCCAAAAACAATTTCTATGAGCCTAAAGTTTAAAGTTACACTGGAATCACCTAAGTAGAAAACCATACATTTATACCAGAATAAGAAATGACTGAGACCTCACTGAACAGTAAGTCCTGGAAAAAACCTTCCTTGCTGACAGAGATTTCACAAGCTACATGACCCAGTCCTGTTTCCCACAGAACAGCTGGGCAATTATCTCCAAACAAGAACTTGAACAGAGCTGGATGAGAAACCAGCTGTGAAAAGAAAGGTTGAGAAATTCAGAAGCATCTAGGTACAGGAACTGGATTTAGGAGATGAATGATATTTCACCCAGCTAATGGCATAGTGTTGAAATAGGCAAGTTGTTTTACCGAGGAAAAGAGGGTTTGAGAGATACTTTATCCACACAAAATGGGGTACATTTTGGTAAGGAAAGCTAAAGTTTCCCTCAGCTGTCTGGGGTCCAACACAGCCCTAGACATCTGCCTATGACCAGGAACAGCTGCAGACTCTTTCTATACAGTTTTAAGGATGGCTGTAAGGGGCCACTAAAAAGTAATCGGGATCTTCCCAGTGGCTCTCACAAGGATCTGTTGCATGCAGCTTAGTGCCAAGACAATTTCCTTTACAGCAAATAGCTGGATAATGCTGTATGCAAGCACTATGCAAAAGCTTCATCATCACTGAATGTGACTTGGATGACTGTTTTTTTTAATGACTGCTCACTTTTCCTCCATGTGCCTACCACCCAAGCAGGCACAGAGCGGGCTGCTGGCCAGAGCATTGCACAGTACCTTGTGATAATGCTCAGCTTTGTTTTACTTCCATGGCCCCAGCACAGCAGCTTTGTGCCGTGCTGCTAGGGCTTGTATTTCTCACCATCAGATGCAAAGGTGGAACACCATGGCAACCAAGCTGATTATCCACATCACTCTGCATTTAAAAACCCAGCCAGGAACTCTGAACAAATTCATTGTTTACCCAAGAGGGAGAAGAAAGAAGAGGATCCCTTACTTTATGTTTAACCACAATATTTCCCTGAGTTTCAAAACAGCTCAAAGTCTTCCTTTTAGCACCACTAACTAATAAAATACAACAACCCAAGAGACTGTATTAATGACACCAAAGCCTAGTGCTGAATAGCAAACAAATACTCAGTTTTTCTACTGACAAACTGATCTGCAGATCCCAAAGACTGGGAAACCATAGTGAGATCCTCAGATTTGTTTTTTAGTGGGAAGACCATGGCTTTTTGATTCCTATCTCAACATTTTCATCCTCTCCCATGATTGAATAACACCACCAGCTAAGGCAACAAAATCAGAAACACTTTGTAGCCAAGATCTTCACTTCCAACAGAAACAATTCGTTTTAGTCCTGTGGCAGCTCCACAAGATGTACTCCTTACACTTCCCACCCCTGGATTTAGGTCAGCTCCCCAGATCTGCCCATGCACCCACTCTGCAGCTACGCTCTACCCCTGCTCTCCCATTGGAGCTGTGGCAGCCCTTCACCACTGCTCCAGCTCCTGGCTTGGCTGGCTGCTGGCATCACATCCTTCCTTCCTCAGCACCTCCTGACTGTCCTCAGCAAGAAGAGCCAGCCTGGCCAACCTGGCAGGCCCAAACCCTGACTGTTTATCCCTGATAGACTCCTGCCTCCCAGAGGAAGGTGCTGCTGGGAATAATTAACCTTTCCCATATGCAGCTGCTGCTTGGGTTGTCACCACAAGGGTGCCGCCAGCTGATGTATCAGGACACTAGGTGTGTTTTTCAAGGAAAAGCATAAGCTACCTTAAAAAAAAACCCAAATGATGGACATTTTAGCTTCTGGAAATGAATTCTGGGAGCTATAACTCAGAAAGTTTTCAGAGGCCAAAAAAAAACCAAAAATAAAAATCATCTTTGTGCCACATTTCACACAGCATTGTTTTCTTTCCTCTGGCTGCTGAGCTCATCTCTGTATCTGGAGGTTCCAACAGAACCTTGAAAGCTGGCAATACCATTTCCTGATTTTGCTTTGGAGAAAAATCAGTGATGCTGAATCTGGGCATACAATTAGTGTGTCTGGCTTTAATTGCTCCCCTTATATGTATATGCCCTTGGTCCTATTAAATAGCACTAATCTCTCTTTCACCACATTCTGATTTTGAAAGAACAATTAGAAGATGATACTGTAATTTCCAAGGTTAAAGATGACAGTAAGCTGTCTTGCTGCATGTAGCAATTCTTTCCTGTAAAGTGACTCAAAAATTAATAAATGGAATGGAATTACTCTTTCATCACTGTCTGAGCAGATCTTCTCCCACAATGGATTTGGAGTTGCAGACCCCAGACTTTGAGCTGTTCAGTCTTTTGTCCCAGTCCACAACAGGAATTACTCTTTCCTGTGTTCTGCACTAGGCACTTCCTTCTGGAAGATGCTGATTTTCCCTCTCAGTCTTTATTCATTCCTCTGAATTCAGAGGTTCAACAAGTGAAATCTGCTCAGGCAGTCACAGCTCAACCCTCAGTTCTACCAGCTGTACTTGCCTGTATTAGTGTATTAATGTTTCCACATGTAATTTTTAGGCTGAAGTTTCCTACTTGAGTTTATGACCAGCCTGTGCTAGGGGAGTCTGCGAAGGGATGCAGTGTTTTTGGAGGTTTGTGGTGCAATTTAAAAGCCATCAGGCTATTAGCAAATAAGAATAAGGTGGAGACACAGAAAGAATAAAAATAAATGAAAAATTTAAAACGCAACTTCAAGCAAATTCAAGCTGGAGCTCATTGGATAATGGAACCTGAAATTTTTGGGAATCTCTCTTTAATTGCCCCTGACATATTTCAGGCCTCCCTTGTGCTGTGAATCCTATCTAAGACTTATTGTAAAGACAAGCAGCACATGAGGTGAGTGAATGGCAGGCTTTGTCAATTTGCCAAACAACAAATCCCTTCCTCTGTAATAATCTGGATTTTTTAAGAATTCCAAGCTCACTTCATTAACACAGCTATGTGAAAGAGGCTTTTAACGATACAGTATTACAGAGTTTAAATGAACTCTCTCCGCCCTCACACTCCTTCCTTACATGGAAGGAATCTGTTGAGTACAAGTATGAATAAAATACCTACAGCTTTAAAATAAATAATTTTTAGGGCTTAGCCTCATCCGCTCTGTGCTGTGCCCTATGAAGTGTGGACAGGCTGCACTGCCTTTCAGAAGGTCGATAATTTGCCCAATTTATTTCAAGCCCTCAGCAGGTAAATGATGCACATTTCTTGGAGACAATAAATAAATAAATAAATAAATAAATGTAGTATCTCTTTATAGGTCTGTTTCAGAGCTCTGTCCTTGCTGGGCCCTGGCAGCCTGGGCAGGCACAGGCCCTCATTCCCCAAGGGCTGTGCTGCCTGCTGGGCACACGGCGCCTCGGCAGCTCGCTCACCCATTTTACACCCACAGCAGAGCTGTCGGACCAGCTGGAGGAGCTTTCGTGTTCATCTGCTAGAGGAAACCTAGCAATAATTGCTCCATGTAAAATAAGACTTCTTAGGACTGAGTTGCAGTTAATTTTAGGCTCTAAGATGACATTATTTTCTGGCGTAAAATGAGAAAATGTTTGATGGAAGTGTCATGGTAAAACACAGAACTAATTTCTTATTATGCATTCACAAAGTTCTAAAATATCTATTTAACAAAGGAAATCCACAGGACAAAATCTGATCCAATTATAGATATCCAAATCCTAAAATACAAAATTGTATGTAATATCTATATGCATACATTCTTAATTTAATAAAAAATGTCTTAAAGCATTTCATTCTCCATATTATTTACAGAGCCTGTATTTAATCTGACTACTGAACCCAGCAGATATTCTCTCATGAGAAAATTAAAGTTTTAGGTCCCAAAATGTTTATAGGGCTTGAATTCTTGGTTGAAAAAGAAAAAAAATCCTAATTAAAGTAATTTCTTTTTTTCACACTGCAGTTGTAACTAGAAAATACATTAGATGTATCATCCTCGGAGTTAGTTTAGTGAAATGCAGGAGAAGAAAGTGTAGTGGCTAACCTTTTAAAGCTGTTTTTCTTTTCAATTTAAAAAAGTACTGTGCACTTCCCAAAGCCACAATCCTTAGCAGCAGCATGATTTGCACTAACAGCAATAAATATAGCCTCAACTCCACGAGTTTGCTGCTTCTTTTTTAATTTTAAGAGCAAAACCTTCCAAAATTATTAATAAATTTATCACCGGTATTCTTTTGATGGGAAAACAGACTAACAGGACAGCCACACAAGACAGTATTATTTTGTGTTGGTCAGACAAGATGCTGAGGATTTCGAGCTGATCTTTTGTTTCTGCTCAAAGACAAATGGCATAAAATTTATATGCATGCTTCTGTCCTGACAGCAAAGGGCTTCAGCACAGCTCTCGCTGAGAGCTAATGGCTCTTGGGGATGCTGCTCTCTGAAGTCCCTGGGCATGAAATGGTCTCGCAATTCATCTCCCGTTAATAGCAGCTCCAAGACTACAGTCTCCCTTTTTTTAAAGTTCTTTTATCCCTGGCAGAAGCTGCCTGTGTTCTCATTGGAGCCGAGAGGCTGTAGTGTGGTGCTTTCACCCCTCAGCAGACTCGGGGCAAGCTGAGGCCCTATGGAAAGCAGGGCCTGATGTCATCCCACCCAGCACGGGGCCAATGAACGCCTGCAGCCGCCGCGCACGGACACACGGACACACAGACACACGGACAGCATCTCAATGGCCTCGAGGGCTCTGCAGCGCTTCATGGGGCCGGCAAATGGCACGGGACGGCTCCTTTCAGTGGGCATCTCGGGCCGGAACATTGTGG